GGGGGGGGGCACGAAAAGGTCAGGGCCTTTCTCTTCCATGGTGCTCACGAGGGGCTACAGGAGACCGACACTGAGGTGGGAGGACGGCGACGGAGGGAAGTTCACATTCCTGGATGGTAGTCTGCACCTCCAGCTCAGGGCTGCAGGGACAGGGGTCCATCGACGCAAGACGCGTTCTTCTGCGCCAGCATACGCCGGCCTAGCGCCGCCAGGGCGCCGGCCCTGCTGCCTACCTACAGCAGCTTGGGGAGGGAGCCCCCGGCTGCAAACCATGCCTGGCAGTCTGGGCCCACCAACCGCCAGGCCGGGACAAAGGGCAGGTGGCCAGAGAGCCCCGCCACCGACTGTGACGCACTGCGCAGGCCGGGCGCAGGCCCGGCACTGGGCGGGCGGGGCGCGCGGCGGAGCGTGACCGGAGCCCAGCCCGTGGGGCGTCCCGTGGGCCCCGCCGCCGCTGCCCCTGCTCTGCCCGAGGGCGCCACCCGAGGCCCAAGCGGCCGAGCTCTTCCTCGTCCCAACACCTACACCCGCCTGAGCTGAATGCCCCCGCACCCTGGCCCCACCTCCAGCCCCGATCTTGGCCCGAAGTCCCGGAAACTGACCCGACCCCGATCCGCCGTCCCGGACAGACCCCCTCCCGGCGGACGCCCCCTACCCCGGCTGACGACGACCACCCGACGCTCCGGCCCGCGGCCGTGATCCCGCGCGAACTCTAACGGCCCCGGCCGGCAGGCGGACGCGGCACTCACCATGGTACCGGCCAAGCCGGGAGCAGCCAGGGCACCGCACAGCAGCGCTGGCTTCAGCAGGCGGCTAAAGCGGCTCAGGCGGCCCAGGATCATCGCGGCGGCGGCCAGAGCCAGCGGCTCCTCCCCTCGCTCAGCCGGCCAATGGACGTGCGCCGGCCAATCTCGCCGGCCCACCCTCGGTCCCGCCCACCAGCACTCTCATTGGTCATTCGCATTGGCGCTGCAGACACGCGCCAGAACCAGCCAATGGCAGTCCGCAGTGAGGTGGAAGGGGGCGGGGCGGGGCCTCGGTGTTTGTTGCGGTCAGTGACTGCGCATGCTCAAAGGTTAGGGCTGGGGCAGGAGCCGCGTCCACGCGGGCTGCGGACAGTTATCCGGGCGGTTGCAGGTAGCGGGGCGCTTCGCCGTAGCGCTTCAGCCTCCGCCAGTCCGGGGAATTCGAAATAGTAGAAAAGGCACCCCCAAAAAAAGTCTTTCGGAAGCAGGGCATTTTAGTGTGGACAAAGTCTAGCCGGTGCAGGGGCCCAGTCCGGCGGGGAAGAGGTCGCGGGCCTCTCACGCGCGCGCACCGCGCCTGCCCCTTGAGGGCAGCGGCAGCTCCGCCCGGTCTTTGGGATTTGCGTGTGCCTTAAGCACGTGCCCCGGCATCAGCTGGGAGCGTTGACCCCAGAGATCTGAGGGAGAGGTCAGGAATGGCTGGAAAGGAGACGTCAAGAAAGGACAAGGAAATAAGATTTAGTTCAGAAGTTCCGCATACTTTTCCAGGCCTGCCACTCCCAAATTCCTGGGAAATTTGTAAATCTTAAATCATCTGTAAATCCATTTTCGCATACTTTGTGCACCGTTAATTAAACGCCAATATTTAGATTAAGAGAGGTATATTTTGAGCCACCTATAATTTTAAGGGATTTTCCAGTGTTGCCTATTGATAAGATAATGGAGGCTACGCCAGTCTAAGGACCCTAGTGTACCCCCTTGTGATCACCCAACTAATGCCATCTCCACATTTCCCAAGCCCATCTTCACCAATTTCCTTTAAAAGAAAAGCTGGGACCCAAAAAACGCTGCCTGATGTGGGCGATATGTGGGCGATGGCCTGTGGCTCACAGCCTCTGGCGGTGATGAGGCTCCTTTCTCTCCAAGTCCTGTAAGTCAAAGACCCTACTGTCCTGAGCCAGCTCCAGCGTCTGCCCTGGGGCTGCTCAGGCGGCACAGTCCCCAGCTGTGGGTACTGAGGACACTGGCCGAGGCTCCTGCTCCAGTGCCTTGTCCCTGCTGGACAGTGTTGGCTGCTGCTACACAGCAAGACCCAGCCCCTTCCTGGGCACCGAGCCGAGAGCTCCTCAGCCAGTTTGTCCACCCAGGACTGGCCGCTGCTTGTGTGTCCCTCGAGGTCTCACTTGAGCTGGTATCATTTGGGGGAGGTCTTGGGAGACCTGGGCCTGCCAGCCAGATGCCAGAACCTGGCTGACACGAACTTTTCACCAGGCTCCCTCCAGCTAGGCCAGGAGTTTTGAGACTGGCTGCTTGGCAGAGTCCCCCTTGTCCCTATCTCACCAGCCACCTCCCTTCTCAGGAAGTCCCCCATTTCCTGCAGCCCTGGGAGAGTGCTGGGACACAGCAGCGTGGCCACACTGTGAGACACTGGGCAGCTGTCTCCAGCTTTGCTCATTCACCGTTACTTAACTGTACTTTGCCATAAACACCAAGAAGCTTGTTTACTTGTGGTTGCCAGAAAAACAGATCCGGGCGGTGCCCTCAGGGTGAGGACCTGAGGGACTTCACTGTGTTCCTGACTTGGTGCCAACTGCAATAAGAGCAGGAGGTGGAAGAGGGGCTGTGGAGACTGGAGGCCAGTGGCCGGTCGGGAGCTGCACCCCAGGCACTGGGATGGATTTGTGTCTGGACTTTCCCAGCTTCTCCCCTAGGATCTCACTTCACTGGTGAGGAAATGAGTCTTGGGATCGTCTCAAGGAAGTTCTTCTATAGCAGCAGAGTTCCTGGTGGTCCCACAGCAGCTCCAGGAGGAAGGACAGGGACTGTGGCCCAATGTGTGGATTGACTTGGTAGTACTGGGGCTTAACCCAGGGTGCTCTACCCCTGAGCCACATTCCCAGGCCTTTTTAGTTTTAGACAGGGTCTCACTAAGTTGCCCAGGCTGGCCTCAAACTTGTGATCCTCCTGCCTCAGCCTCCAAAGTTGCTGGGATTCCAAGCATGTGCCAGCAAGCCTGATTAGCCCCAGCAACTTAACAAGGCCTTGTCTCAAAATGAAAGGGTTGGTGGTGTGGCTCAGTGGTAGAGTGCTGGCCTAACACATAATGAGACCCTGGATCCATCCCAGAATCAACTGAAAGGAAAGTGACCATGACACTCTGCGTGACCAAGAGATCTTTATTGTGGTGTTGTCTTGATTAACAGGGAAGGGAGAGAAAAGAGAGAGAAAGAGAGCAGGGAAAGAGAGAGAGGAGCGAGAGAGCAAAGCGAGGCGGGGTGGCATCAGCACACGAGCAAAGCCAGAGGGTTTTTTTTCTAATTTTTTCTTAGTTGAAGATGGACGTAATACCTTTATTTTGTTTATTTTTATGTGGTGCTGAGGATCAAACCCTGTGCCTCACATGTGCGAGGCAAGCGCTCTGCCACTGAGCCAACCCCAGCCCCAAGAGAGAGAGCTGTTTTTTTGTTTGTTTTAAGAGACAGAATTTTTTTTTTTAATATTTATTTCTTAGTTTTCGGCCGCACGCCTGCCAGGCGAGCGCGCTACCGCTTGAGCCACGTCCCCAGCCCAAGAGAGAGTTTTTATAGCCAAAATCTAATGGGGTCTCTGGGTCTGCAAGCTGCCTTATTGGCGTACAGTGATTGGATCATACAGTAGTTGCTAAGGGTGTCATCTTCTGCCCTCAGGCAGACCGCAAAGGGGCTAGTTTCCCTGGCACCAGACAGGTGGGGGGTCAGGTGTTCAGCCCACCCTGCAGCTAACATCAACAAAAATTTTAAAAGAAGAAGAAGAAGAAGAAGGCCTGTCCCCATGAACAGTTACCCTCAGCCCCTCCCAGCCCCCGGCACCCATGAATCTGCACCCTGTCTCTGGACTCGCCTGGACATTCCTATCCACAGAGTCACAAACTGTGTGACCTTGTATGTCCGGCCTCGCTCATGTCACGGCTGGACTGTGTTCTTCTGTGCCCCCCCACACACTTACCCTTCATCTCTTGGTGGACCTGCCTGCCAGCTGTGTGATGCTGCCTAAGGTTCTACATGGTCCACGTGCGCCTGCTCTGGGTGTCCACCTGGTGTGCGGCTGCTGTGTCCTACAGGGACTCTGATCTCTGTTTATGGGCATGCTGGACTGTCTTCCAAATGGCCCTGCGATCTTCTGTTCCCGCTGACCCTGGTGTGGATCTGTAATGCCATAGACCTCCAGGAGCCGAATCCGGTGCAATCACACAAGAGTCTTTATTGCAAGCTCGAGTCTGGACTCACAACCGTTCCCGACACATCCGTCCCAGGGAGTGAGTCCCAACCCTTAGTTCTGTGAGGATTTATAGGTTTTGGGGGGGATACTCTGTGCGTCACAACATCATACAGCAAATCATTTCACACCGCGGGAAAATCAATAAGTCTTAACGTTGATTAGCATGTTCACTGTCGGGAACAAGTCGGATAGGGGTGATTTGATTAGTTCAAGTTAGTTTGAACTGATGGGTTTAGGCTGGGGGGCGGTTTGCATGAGTATATATGCTCAAGTGCAGGGTGGCCTAATGTTATCAATCACCGAAACTAGGCCTCAAGCATTCTTGGTTGTAGTTGGACATAACACCTTTATTTTTATGTGCTGCTGAGGATGGAACCCAGGGCCTTGCACATGCTAGGAGAGCGCTCTACCGCTGAGCCACCACCCCAGCCCTCAAGCATTCTTTTGGTCTTTTCAGGAACTTGCATTTGCTGAGTCCAGGACATATGACAAATGACTCAGCAGGGTGGCCATGTGCCTAGGAGTGCTGGGTCATTCCCTCCCCCCCCACCTGAGGACAGGCCCTCCTCTATCTGTCCCTACACCTGTCCCCCAGGTCTGCCACCTGTCAGGGCAGCTTTGTCCTCCCCATCTCTCTCCCTCTCTCAAATCTCACTGCTCCATCCATCTGCAAACCCTGTGGGCTCTGAGGAACGTTCCCCTTGCTGATCCAAGTAGGAGCCGCCCCTACCAATGGCCAGGATGCCTCGCTGCTCTCTGCTCCTGCCCTGGCTCCCACAGATCTGTTACCAGCACAGTAGCTCCAGACATGGCACGCTGAAAAGAAAACCCGAGCTGTCCTTCCACCCTGAAGGGCACGCAGCACCTGCCCCACCGGAGCAGGACCTCCTCTACCCCTCCCTGCACAGGCCTCCAGCCTGCCAAGCAGATAGGTCCAGCCTCAGGGCCTTTGCCCATATTGTTCTCTGGCCTGACACACCCTCCTCCAGACACCCGGGCTCCCTCCCACGGTCCAGTGCTGGAATCTGTCCTCCACTGTTCTTTGGCCAGTGCTCCAGGCAGTCCCTTCCCTAGTTCCCTGAGCCTTCTCCACTTCCTCCCCACCAGGGGCTCCCAAAAGGCTTCAGCATTTATCCAGCATGCATGGCTCTTCCCTGGGCTCTACCTGCAACACAAGGGGCGCAAGGCCCATTTTGTTCCCTGCCCCTGTGGCTGCTCAGCAAAGTAACTGAGAGGTCACTGACAGCCTCAAGGTGGAGGACACAGGAAGAGCAGGGTGTGCAGCCCTCCTTCACCACTGGGGTGGGTACAGGGTGTGTAAAGATGCAAATAAAACTGAGTTAAAACCTGAGTAAACCTCCACCTTCACTCGCTGTGTTAGTTTCTATCACTGTGACAAAAACCCTGAGAAAAATAGCTTTGTGGAGGAAAGATTTATTTTGGCTTGTTCTCAGAGGCTTCACTGCATGTTTGGATGGCTCCAAAGCAGAAACATCATGGTGGAAGGGCATGGCAGAGGAAAGCTGCTCATCTCATCGCAGCAGAGAGCAGACAGGGCCAGGGACAAGATATACCCTTCCAGCCAGGCGTGGTGAGGCATGCCTGTAATCTCAGTGACTTGGGAGGCTGAGGCAGGAAAACTGAAAATTCAAAGCCAGCCTCAGCAATTTAACAAGAAC